GGGGAAGATTCCTGGCAGAGGGGGTGTTTGAGCTCAGTTTTGAAGATGGGATAAGACTCCTCAGCTACCAAGAGGGCACACTCTGGGTGACGGATTTGAGGATGGGCCTGCAGATAAGGCGTTTCCAGGAGACAGGAATAAAGACTGGTGTTTCTGCTGCCTGGCCCTCCCCTGCCCCCAGCCAAACTCTGAGGCCAGGCCTCAGTTTCCCCTCCTACTGAGCAGTCTGGACTGGCTCAGAAGCAAGGCTGGGATCAGAGGATGCTGCTCCCCTCTGCCTCTCAGAGCCTTCTGGAAGGTCAGGTTTTCAGGCCCTATTGCTCAGGGGCATCCTTCTCCCAGCTCCCCTCCCCTCCGTAACCTCCCCCACTCCCTCAGGCAACCAAGTAAGCCTCAGCTTTGATGCGGCCACCTCAAGCCTCAAGGCCCAGGCGTCAATGGGCCCTCTATGTGACCAGTGGGGCCGCTGGGGGCCGCCAGCTGCCGTCGTGGGCGTGGGTAAGGCCTGGATACACAGTCCCACTGTGTGGGGCTGGTTCATGTCCGCCCAAACCCTGTGGCCGGTGGGGGGGCTCCCAGGAATGTCTCCCTGGGGGGCACTTTGGACAGACAGGGTGGTCTGGGGAGATGGGGTTGTGCAGGGCGGCCTCGGGAGCCCCCGGCAAAGGGGCCCAAAAGACGTGGCGCCAGGTAAGCACCATAGTGGGCGTGGGGTGACTGGCGGTCTGTCTGGTCAGTCCGCTCATCTCCCAGGGTTGGCGGGGGAGGGGGAGGCTGCCATGGGCACACCACTGAGGGTGACCCACTGTCCTGCGGTGCCTGGGGTCTGGGACTTTCAGGGCAAAAACCAAGAGAGTCCCCTGTTGGCTTAGGAAAGGATAGTGACTGACCTCCTTAGTCTGGACAGTTTCCTCCCTGTCCGGTGACCTCTGAGTCAGACCATGGGGGCTAGAGCTGCCCAGTGCCATTTTGTCCACCCCCTGCCTCCACCCAGGCCTGCCTCATGCCTGAGAGGCCATTTTCCGTCTCTCCCAGGCGTCTTAACAGGAGGAGCTGCCAGCCGACTACCCAGCCACTGCTGAGAGGATCTTGGCGGGATGGGTGGCCCAACACACCGGCTGTCCGTCCACTTCCGCGGGCTCCAGCCACCCTGGGGGTGCCCAGAGTCAGCTCATCCCCGTCTCCACACCTTTACCCCAGGCTGTTCTCTCTCCTGGAATTCCTTTCCCCCTCTGTCACTTCTTCACCCAACCAAGACCAGCCTGAATGTCATTTCACCAGGGGAATTGTTCTCCTTATCCCCGGGTGGGCTAGTCTAGTCCCCTTCGTTGAACTTCTATACTCCCCATTCTTCCCTCCTCATGATATCGATCACACCCCAGCGCAATTTTTCAGTTTCCTCATCTCTTTCCACACCTGACTTTGAGCTCTTTAAGGGCAGAGAGCCTGACCCAGTCACCCTTATATCTGAGATCCCAGCACAAGGCCAGCCTCACGGAAATTGTAAGAATGAGGGTGTTTATTTGCGATGTCCTCTGTGCCAGGCACCCTGCTCATTGAATTCTCTCCAGAGCCCCTTGAGTTCGGTATAATCATCATCCCCATTTTATTTATGGGGAAACAGGTACAGAGAGGTGAAGTGACTTGCCCCAGGCTACACAATTAGCAAGGGGCAGAGTCAGATTCTGGAGCCGGGACTCGAATACCCGTGCTCCACTCCCTGAGAAGTTTTTCTGTAATTACTGGATAAGTGGAAACCTTTGCCTCCCCTGGTTCTCCTAAATGCTACATGTTGCAGTTCAGACCCGTTTCCTCCAGTTTCCTCCCCAGAAGGGTACCCCAGAGGGGACAGCTATTGCCTGCATGGGTGTGGTTAAGGGGTGTGCTGTGAGGGGGACGCCCCAGAGAAGGGCCTCACGGGTAGTTTAGGACAAGGGTGCCGGCCTTCCACGGAACTGTGGATGGGCCCTTGGTCATCCCCAGGGCCATTGCCTGTGTTATCAGATGGGGAAACTGAGGCCCAAAGAGAGGAATGGACTTGCCCGTAATCATGCAGTACGTTTGAGTGAGAGCCATCAGCATCTCCATTTTTCAAAAAAAGGAATAAATACCCTTTGCCAGGGGCTAGTCCCGGCAGAGGAAGAGGGGGAAGAATGGAGAATTGCTGGGGGCCTAGGGGTGCTCCAGGAGGTCCCTGTGCCCTCTCTCTCCTTCCATTTTGGTGCCTGGAACTCTACTGTCAGTCTGCCAGCTTCCTGGGTTGAGTCTTGTCCTCTTTCCTCCTCACCCTCTACTTCACGGCCTCCGCCCTCTTCCTAGTCCTCTTCTCCCTAGGGAACTGAGGTGCGTTTGGGAGTTGGGGATCTACGAGCTTGGAGTCCCAAGGACGCCCCCCCCCCCCCCCCCCCCCCCCCCCCCCCCCGGCCGCCCTCCTGCTGAGGGGCTTGCATGGAATTCGGGATGTCTGCGTGCTGGGGTGGGAACGCGGGACAGCTTTCCTGTCACGAACCTCCAACTAAAATGCAGCGTCTCCTTCCCCAATGATTTTGTCCCCAGTGGAAATCACAGATGTTCTTCCGTGTCATGAGGGCTGAGGCGGAGGATCTGGAAATGCCATTTTTGCTTGTCACCGCCATGTGGTGGCCATTGCTAGAGCTCCTGAGCTCTCTGCGTGTCACGACAGAGGCACAAGGTCACAGTCTTATCACTTAACTTCTTTTACAGCTTGATAATTGTATTTCCACAGATCTGGTCTGCATAGTCCTTCAGATTTGGTTTCATGCCCTTAAAAAGTGTGACTCTGAGAAGGCGTCTATAGGCTTTCTGAGGCTCCAGAAAGATCTGTGGCTCAGAACGGGTTAACGACCCAGCGTGGCTCAGTGCGGAGCCCAGCATTTTACCACCCAGAGGTTAGCTCTCTCTGGGGACAGACTCGGCAGCGGCAGCCCTGTGACTTTTGGGGGACAGATCACCCAAGTAAGCATGCTGTAAGCAGGACATGGGGAATGGAGCTGGGCAGGAGAGACGGGGCCAGCCAGTGTGGACCAACGCCTCAGACCCCAGACCTGGAACCATCCACATGGACCCTGGCTTACAGAGCACATCTATGTCCCTGCCCACCAGGAATCAGCCTCTTGTCTCTGGGCACACATGGGGCCCAAAGCCACCAGCTCTCCTCTCGCTTGCCCTCCGAGCTGCTCTCTGCCCTCTCCACGGCCTCAGGAACCCATCTTAGGCGGCAGCTCCCTTAGTCCAGTCTCCCTAGATTCCTTTGTTTTAAACCCTACATTTCTCCATCTTGCTCATGGAGAGAGAAACACAGATTACAAAGACCCAGCAAATGGTTTTTATAAACTCTTATTTTCTTGCCACAGACTGCCTTTAATTAGCTCTGGGAACTACAAAGGGAATAGCGTTATAATAGGAGCAGCTTGAAGGAAGGAGCCACGGCTGTCAGCTCCCAGACCTGAGGCTGTTGCTTGTCACCAGCCACAACCAGGTTTGGCGGGAGTGCATCCGCCTCAGGGATGGCAGCCCCCCCCCTCGCCCCCCCCACCCCCAGCCCCCATCTGCAGCCATACAGCCTGCCTCAGCTTCTCTCCAGAGAGGAGGAAAGGTTCCCACCTCAGATAAGCCCTTGAAGAAACCTTTAAACAATAAGAACCCAAATGTGCCTCTGCCCCTGCCCCTGCCCAGAACTGGCCTCCCAGGGACTGGCTCTGAGTCACTCTGTTAGCCCGCAGCAGGACAGTCTGACAGGCAAAAAGGCAGACAGTCAGACCATCTTCTGTATCTCAGCTGACAACCTCAGCTGAAGAAAGGCAACACCAGTGCCCCCCCCCAGTCCTTGGAGTTTTAGATTCCATTCAGCCCCTCTATTCTGGAGGAGAGCCTCTCTCTGTGTACAATCCCGAGGCACTACCCTCATCCCCAGCCCATCCCCAGCCTCAGACGACCAGAATGCCACAGCCAGAGCTTCTCCGTTTGGGACCATGACAGGTTACCTTCCTTGCCTAAGGCCACTGAGCAAGGTAGTCGAGACCTGGGGACTCAAGCTCAGAGCCTCTGGACCCCCAGTCTCAGGTGTCACAGCCCCATCTGGACTCCTGCTGGGGGGCAAGGGGGAGGACGGTAGCCGGCCGATGTCTGAGGTCAAGGCTCACCAGCCCTAAGAGCCAGGCAGAGGCAGGAAAAGTCTCCCCCCGAGTTCCAGCCTCCATCAGAGCTTCCAAGTGGGGGATCCTGGAACCCTATCCATTTTGAAAGACAGAGCCCAAAGCTCTGGGTCGCTTTAGGCCACGAATAGAGGCAAGAGCCACCTAGAAACACTTTCTTCTCCCCTGCGGCAGAGTCTGTAAACCTTCCCCAGGCCTGCTTCCCCGACGCTCAGCCAGTTTCTTGCGTCCCAGAGCTATGCAAGTTCTCCACAAACGCCTGTAGCCTCCTTCTCCTCCCTCTGCTTCCCGCCGCCCAGGATGACTTGGAAAGCCTGGGAGAGATCCTCAGAAAGATCTCCAGATTCATGGCTCTTGACAGAAGCTGGCCTGGCTCTAGGAGACCTGAGTGTGTCCCTGAGCCTGCGTCTGCCTGAGCTCAGGTGGAGGGTCCAAGCTCCCCGGGTGGGCCAGGGGCTAGGGCTGCAGGGTCCCAGAGCCCCGTCAGTAAGGCAGGAAGCCTCAGGTCACAGGAACACCTTCCATGTCCTCACCACCTCAGGACCCTTCGAGGTTGGCCGCTGAGGTCTTGCGGTGTCCATTTCCCCCACTACTTACTGTCCCCACCAGCTGAGGATAAAAGTCCCACAAAAGTCCACTCCAGGAGACCACGGAGGCCACCAACCCCTCTTCCCACCTCAGGCTTTCAGGAGTCAGCCGACATAGGTAGGCAGGCCATGCACTTGAAGGCAGCCTGGGTGGTCGGTGGAGGGACGCGGTCCGGGACCTGGCCACAGCTCCCCACCCAAAAGGATCAACCCAGGGCCCTGGGCAATCGTTACTCACCGCGGATGAAGGTTGGCGAGTAGGTCGGGAAGGAATCGAAGATGCTGTTCGATGCCATGCCCCTCTCTGAGGAAGGCGAGAAATCAGACCTTCCGGGGGTTGGCTTGGGATTGACTTGGTTGGCTGTTGTTTTATTTTTTCCTTGTTACTTTTTGAAAATAAAAGGGGGGGTAGTGGTGTCGCTTTTTGTTTGTTTTTTTGTTTTGTCTCTTTTTTTCCCCTATTGCTACGAAAAAGAAAAAAGGAAAGAACGCGAGAGTGTGTGTGTGAGCGAGAGAGAGAAAAAAAAATCCCCAAGGAAAGTAAGTTTCTGTTTGTACCCAAGAATTTGGATTCCCAGTCCCACAGGAATGTCTAGCCACAAATTTTCAACAGAAGCGTATGCAGAGTGTATCATTAGATGGCGGGAAGGAGCCTTCAGCAGCCAGGGCGGAGGAGCTTGCTGGGCAGCGAGAGCAGAGCCAGGCCCAGCATCAGCGCCACGGGGAATGAATGAATGAGGCTCGCCCCTGACAGAGCCCGGGCTCCAGTGGGTGCGAGGGCGGCCCAGGGGTGGGGAGGACCAGGAGCCAACCAGCTCCCGCGCAGGGCCTTGAAGGCGGCTGAGGGCCTGGCCCTGTGGTTCTGTGGTTGAGGGACTAGGCCTTCACAGTGTCAACCCAACCTCAGCTCACAGGATGCAAGAAGCCAGCTCGCGGCCTTGGCCCATTGGCTGGGCTGGGGTCACCTGGGCTGTGATGTCATGGCCTCTTAGAAAATTCTGTGGCTGCCTCTCTCTCTTTTTGGGAAAAAAGAAAAGAGAGAGAGAGAGAGAGAAGGAAAGAGAAAGAGAAGGGGAAAAAAAGTGATGGCTTTTATTTGTGGCCTCAGCACGCGGCCCAGGAGCAGAACTGAAAGCAGGCAGAGGGGGTGGCTGGGCGGTGGTTTGGATCCTGTAAAGGAGACTCATTTTTAATTAAGGCCAGTGTTGGCCTGGGCGGGCTGGGAGCCCCTAGGGCCCTCACCAGACCCACCAGCGGGTGGTAGGGCTCCCCGCCATGCCCTCCACCCCGGGGCTGCGGCTGACACCCGGCCTCGGTCCACCACCACTGCTGCCAGGGAACAGTCCACATGTGTGGCACTTCGGGGGGATTTCACGGCAGCTGGGATTAAACACAAAGGGAAACACTCGAAGTGGCATCACCCCAGTGCGGCCTGCCCGCAGAGGCCTCCCTCGTGAAAGCTGGCAGCAGGGCCATCTGTGCCAAGGAGCCCGCTGTGGAGCTCAGATTCCGAGCCCTGAGCTTGGCGTTCAAGGCCCTTTGCTCACGTTGCCCACTTTCATCTCCTCGGGGTTCTCCATTTTAACCGACTGTGCCTGGGCTTTCCTGCCTCCATGGCTGTCTCCTCCTTCCCCCACAACAAACACACCCCCACCATTTCCCTTTATTAGGGCACTTTTGGAATCTTCATGTCCCAGAAGGTTCAAGGCTCAGAGGGACTCCGAAGTAGAAAAGACATGGGAAATGATTCAATCCTACACTCTGTCCCCAGAAGCCTGGGCAGGTGGGGGCCAGAGTGTGGGGGGGCATGCAGGATGGTGGCTTTCCCGGTTTCCCTTGTAAACTCTACTGGCCCATTTCGTAGGTCAGACACTGAGGCCCAGGATGCTGAAGTCAGCTTGTGCAAGGCCACAGAGTATTGTGAGTGGGATTAGAACACCGGCCTCTGATTTACCAGCTTGGCCTCTGCGGTAACACCACAGCACCCTGCCGTGCCCTCTGGGCTCAGTCCTGAGACTTCGGGAAGCCCTCTGCCCCCCGGGGGCTGCCTCTTGGCCTCTCTCAGGGTGCCTGAGCTTGGAGCCAGGGTCCAGCACCCATCCTTGCACTTGTGGGGGTCTCTGAAGACCAACAGAGTGCCCCTGTTGGATGGGCACGCAGAAGGAGGAAAGGCTGTCCACAGCCCCCCAGAGACCAGTTTCCGCCCGCAGCCACACTGGTCACCAGGGAGCAGTACACCCTTGGAAACTTGCCGTCTGTTCCTCCTTGGGAACCCTGTGAAGGCTCAGTCTTTTGTTCCTCAATGGCGAGTGGGCGGTGGTAGTGGTGATGGGTTGTCATCTGTCTGGGGAGGAAGCAGGTTTATGGTAAGAGCCACAGGGTTCTGGAGTCAGAGTTGAGTTCCACTGTCAGCTCTGCTGAATCCCAGCTACAAGACTTAGGGCAAGTCACTTCCCCTCTCTGGGCCTCAGTTTCCTTCCCTGTCAAATGGGGATTACACATTTCTCGGAGGGACAGGCAACCGGGTGATGGCACCGTAGACACTATTTCCTTGCCAGAGTCTCCGTGACGCAGTTTGGGGTCTGTTATGAGTAGGCACAGGTAAAGAAGCATCGGTCACATAGGACGACAGACAACCCCCACTGTGAGCCAACCAGCTGGCCCAGCCTGGGCAGGGCTGTCTGAGTCAGTGGCACATGGCACCTGCTGAGGGGCCTTGACCTCCTGGTTCCATTTGGAGTCTATGTGAAACAGATCAGAGACAGACATGGCAGGAAAGACCCTCTTTGACAGAAGTGGAAACTGAGGTTCCCCCGAGGGGCACCCTGTGAGTCAGTGGAACCATGGCCCCCTGCTTCCCAGCCCAGGAGCTGTTTCCGATCCACCAATACCACCTCCAGTTTCTAACAGCCCACCCTATCACACTTCGTTGTTTTTTCCGTGTGTCAAAGTGGGTCCCCCTAGAATAATCAGTAATTTGGTCCGCCTTAGGGACGTCCCCTCAGCTTCCCCGGGAAGCTGAGTCCAGGCCCAGGAACAGGAGGAGGCACAGGGGGCTTTTCTGGGCCTGGGAGCACATCTACACAGCAGGTGGCTTAATGTGTTCCTAGGGCAAGGCAGCGAATGTTGACTGGGTGCCTGGTTGGGTCCATCCTTCAGGAGGCTTCTGATCCCCGCATGCCCCCTCAGAAGCATGTGCCAGCCTGAATGAACCCCTGGAGGCTGCTGGAGAAGCAGAAAGGACATTTCTGAGGCTTGACTTTGGAATACTCCTGAAACTGTGAGATTGTGGGCCAGAGGATTTATTTTTCTGAGCCGGCTTCCTTGCCTATAAGATGGGGCCAATGGCAGCACCTGCTTCTCGCAATTGCAAAAAGGGATTAAGTGAGAAAATATTAGGAGTGTACCTGGCATATAGTAGTTGCCCAGTTCTTGGAATTCCCTTCCTTTAGCTCAGACTGTGCTCTCTCCCAGCATGCAGGGGGCTGCTGGGTTTTCTCTTGTTCTCCACGGAAAAAAATGTCTGATACCACAGTGGCCTCTGAACCAATCAGATCAGGTTATTCTAGAAATTTGGTTGAGGAAGGGAATCATTAAAAAATAGTATTTATGGGTGCCTGGGTGGCTCAGTGGGTTAAAGCCTCCGCCTTCTGCTCAGGTCATGATCCCAGGGTCCTGGGATTGAGCTCCCAATCGGGCTCTCTGCTCAGTGGGGAGCCTGCTCCCCCCGCCCCGCCCCGCCTAAATAAAAAATAGTATTTACGTGCCATAAACCTTTTATTTTAACTTTAAACTTATAAATGTGCATTCAATGGTCTTCATCTTGGTCTTCTGGCTTAAGCCAGCCCTGAAGGCATCTCCTGCCATTTCCGGTTTGGGCTTCTTTGAAGTTGCTTGTGAGTATAAAGATACTGAGGAAACAATCCGCATCGAGGAGAATCTAGATTTTACTATTTCCCCCAATCTTTTACCATGTCCCACCCATACCAAATTCAATTTATTCTTAGCACCTTGCCTTGGCCAAGTCTTTCCAAGGTGTTCAACCTAGTTTCCTAGAAAGAGACACTCCTGTTTTACATTGTATCATTGGTAACATTGTCTTGCTATCAGTAAGGGTCCAATCAGGGAAACAGAAGCCACTTTGAGTATTGGAAACAGAGGAAAGTTAATTGGTGGGTTATTGGCAGCACGGGCGATAGAAGGGCTGAGAAGCGAAACCATGATGGTGGAGGATCCCGGAGATCAGCCACGGCAGGAAGCCACTGCCACCCTTTGGTGAGAGACACAGGGAGAGGCGGTGTTGCCAGCATGCCCTCCCCCACCTGCAAAGCAGAAGCGGAGTAGAACAAAGTAGCATTTGCTGGAGACACAGAGGGGAGTCAGCCACTATGGCAATGCCCTGAGACAAACAACAAAGGGACTCTCTCTTCCTCCCATCATTTAACCTCCTCCCAGTGCCTCCCAGCTGACTTAATAGAACCAGAGCCCAGCATTACAGAGCCTAATGGGGAAGGGGGTAGAATGGAACTGAGGGCAAAATGGACCCACACTGGCGTAATATCCAATGAAGTTTTGTAACCATGGAAACCCAACTGGCATCAATGGGTTTGAGAACAAACCCAACCGATGTTTGCGAAGTTGACAGCTCAGCGGGTTGGTGGGAGCAGAAGGGTAGATTCCAGCAAGGGATCTGCTAGCCAAGGGGATCGATTGGTCTACAACACCAGTAATACCAGTGAACCACACTAGTTGGTTACATGGAGATTAGTTAAGAAAGTACCTACTATGAGTGGTGATAAAATCTGTTTTCTCAACCAGTGTGCAGTGCTGAAACTTTCACTATAACCTTGGGTTACAGTGACTGGGGAGAGATGTCACCGATCATGAGAACTGGCTGCTGGGTCCATCTAGGAACTTCAGAAAGATGGCACACTCCGGCGCTCACAGGGCGTTCCCAATATCCTGCAGGACAGGGCTGGCTCTCTTCGATTTTCTGATGAGGAAAAGGCTAATTCCAGGGATTAATCCCCAAGTTCTAGCCTCTAGGCGTCAGCTTGAATGAAAAGGGCAGCAGAATTGAGGCAGGCAGTGGTCATAGAGTTCAAATTCTGCCTTTCCACCGGCAAATCACAGTGCTGGGCTCAGGAAAGGTGCTGGAGTGTGACACAGTGTGACACAGGCCCACGGCTCTCCACCTTCAGGCTCCCGCATGGAGATATCAAGATAAGGTTCCCCTGGTCCCCTCCCCAATTCCCTCCAACCCCAGCCAGGTCTACACCCTGCTCTAGCGTAGGCCCATGTTCAGAGTAGAGGGTGAGGCCTTCAGGCCACGCAGCCCACCCAGGAGCCAGGATACTCAGGCTAAAGTCAAAGTATCTGCAGCTAAGAGCCTACCA